TTGTGAATTCCCAACAGCTTACACATTTCTTGAAAAACTGAGGATTCAAAATTTCTTCCTTGGTCCGAATGGATCTCTCTAGGACAGCCAAAATTGGGAGACCAGTCGAACCACCATAGCGAGCGGTCGGGTTTTCACGAGCGCGCCATAGATGGGCAATTCAATTGGGAAATAGAGCAAATCGCCAAAAGTGGGACCAGCAAAGTTCGGGAACATAGTGAAAAAAAAAAATTGCAGCATTTGTGTAAGTGCAGCAGTACTCCAGCAATTAGCAACTAAAGGTAGGTGAAAAAAGCAAATTAAGACGAAAACGGAGCCTTTTCGCCGGGTTTTTCTACCTGAAACGGGAAGGGCTCTATACCCGCCCGAGCGCGACCGGCCCTTTTAGACTTTGGACTGCGCAACGTTGCCAATGTGAACTTTCCACAGAGGGACAATAGAGTGTTGCCAGTGCAAAACTTTAGTGCAAAACATAATTGTTTTATACATATATACATATTGCGTGGACATTCACATATTTCTTATTTAACATTACCATTATTTTTTACTTTATTTTTTATATATATACATATTTTGCCGACATTTACATATACTTTAGTTACTGTGTGGACATTTACATTCAGGCCGACTGAATCGCGAATTTCGCACATCAATCTGCCAGACTGCACTTAGCATTAGGTAGTATTCTATATCGGAATCTAGGGCAAGAATAGGAACAGAGAGAGAAATCCCCAGAAAACGAACGGAAACATGAACAGAGAAAGAGGCGAGTCAGCCAAACGAAAGCTTTTATACACGAGCGCGAACCAGGACGAGTCCATGGAGGAAAATAGCACGCCCGGGAGCACCCCCAAGATGGGATCACCTATTAAGTCTCCGGCACTCAAAAAAAAGAGAGATGGGCTCAGACAGACCGTTCATGCCAGGACACAAAAAGACATGACATCGGGCACAGAAGACGACACATACGGCACGCTTAGCAACCAGACTAGGCAAAGCCGAAATCGGAAAATGCAGATGGACTTAACAGCCACAGGCTTAGAGTACAACCTAGAACCTCCTGCAGCGAAAGCCAAGTGGGAATCAAGAAGACAACAAGCGCAGAGGGCCCTCCAGGCAAGGGACGCCATCATTAGGGCGACGTCGCTCACGTATGCCGGGGGTTAAAAGGTCTCTAACTCGGAGGAGCAGAGGATCGTAAAGGAAAATGTTCAGGAGCTCACAGACATCCTATTGGATATGATCAGTCAAGAAGAGCCAGAAAACGAAGGAAACATAAGGAAACTGCTAGAGAGGCAAACCACAGCTATGAAAGAAATGAGAAGGGAAATCCAGGGACTTAGGGCTACCGTTGAAGAAGACCGCAAACAGCTCCAAAAGGCACCAGTGAACCGTGCACCCCAAAAATCCGCAGGCCTAGGAAAATTCGGACACGACCAAGCAGCGTACACAAATGACGCTGACACAGAGCAGACCCAAACTGAAATACAGTCAGACACAGAAGGGGGATTCACATTAGCCAAACCAAAAAGGAGACTAAAATCCAAAGAAATAAGAGACAAAATAAGAACATACGCTGACGTCTCAAGGACAGTCCTGAAGGGTAAAAAGGTGAACGAGAAAGCCAAGGAGCCATGGAAGACTCCTGAAACAAAAGAAAAACATATAACCCTGGTCGAAATCCCGGAAGGCCAACAGGCCCGAGATACAATCAAAAAAATTAAGGAAGCCGCACAGGAGGAAGTAGCAGCTACAGGAGGAGTGGTCCGAATGGCAGGTACAAGAGGCAATAAGATCGCCATAGTGTACAAAAACAGAGAGCAGCAGGAGAAGGTCGAGAGGAAACTGGGTGCAAGCGGAGAAATAAAAACGAGCGCAATCCTGAAGCAAAACCCCAAAATCAGACTCACGGGCGTTGCCAAGGGGTACTCTGACGAGGAGCTCCTGCGAACGATTAACGAGGAAAACCCCGAAATCAAAACAAACTTTGGCGA